GTTTTAGGGGGAACTGTTTTTGAGGGGATGTTTTCTTGGCCTGGGTTTATTCTTAGGTTTTGAGTCTATTAGGTCTCTTCTTTAAAGAGGGGCCTGTCTTCTCGGGCCTCGATCATTCTATGGGCCTGGGTCATTGTTGTTGCAATTCTCCTGCCTGTCATCCTCTTCCCTAGCCTAAACAAAATTCAAAAGCAATAAACCCAGACGTGAATATAGACATCTCTACGCTACACCACGAAGCTTCGAAGGATGAAACCTGCAATAAAACGACGGTCGGGAAGCCCAAGAGCCAAAAGATAACAAGATAGGCGGAAAAAGAGTCTCTTTAAAAAGCGTGCGATTATAGTATGGGGTGCAATGCAGAAATATTTCTCGGCATTAAAATAAAGAGAATGGCCAGATCTTTATTTTGAATTCAGAAAAATCACGAGAATGGCTGCCACCTACGAGCAAATGGTACCTTCTAGACCTTACAAAGACTGACACAATTCAGGATAGATATTATTCAATCCCCTATTCAATTCACTCTACAAGACTTCAATGTCCTATAGATGATCAGAAAGTCTTATACCCCAAGTCGGTGAGTCATAGGCAATATCTTGCAGGATATCTGATCCCTAAAATCTGCCTTGCTACAAACGTTAAAATTCTGTCTTACGAGGATACTTTCAAAATAGTTCTCGTGTGTTGCCCTGCGCCTCTATGAATATGTCATGGCCTCAGGTGAGCGCGAAGAGAAGCAATCTGATTGAACGTGTGGATGCCATCTACACGAACCACAGATTGAAGCATTGAATACAGCTGGTGCCAGTGTGATTGAACTTACATGCGTTGTCTCCCCGTTCGTACAACATGACTCACGTCTCAAAGATCATCGAGCAGGCGAAGACTTATGTTGGTGGCGTGCGGCCTCATGCGCGATCCTGACAGCGATGCTATTGGGCGGATAGTGTCATACATGGGCTACGGCCCCTGTCGTGGGACTCGCCATCGCTACTTTTGGGCAGTGATGTGGGATGCTCAAGCTGTGGCATGGCGAGGCAGATTCCAGGCGAAAAATCAGTAGCACGGGATCTCCACAACTTCTGTCTCCTTCAGCCCCTCGTCGAACGAATCGCTGGACAGTTAGTGACAGCTTAATGCTGACTTCACCCGGCCAGGCTTGACGTGGCGCAGTGCCCTTCGAATTTAGACCAGGTTCAGGACCACAAGGCATCAGCTTCACTCCGTAAGCTTCATGCAAAGACGGCAGTCATAAGCAGTCGAAAGAACGGGTGTGACTATACGTCTGGCTCCAACAGGTATAAGTAGGATGGTAACTCTTCAGTGCAGAATCAAAGACATCAACCTTCAAACACTCTCCTTTGCTCTTCTACGTCAAATTTTCAATAAAAAGCTAGCAAAACGGATGGACATAATGGATGTGCAAAATGACTATCCCGGTTTGCGCTGCTGGTACGCCGCTTAAAGACTATGTTGTCCCTATTGTGGTATCTCGCACGAATACGTCTTCTCTCTTACGCGGCGTTCTGAGACCGCGAACTTATAAAACGACCTAAAGCGATTTGCTGCTCTTTATAATCTAAAGCTGGAGCTGACGTACTTGATCAGCTTTCTTCTTTATCTACTTCTAACATTTCAAGCAACTTTCAAACTCAGAGGGCTTGCCGCCGTCCGCATTAGGAACGCGATATGGATTCTTGAGACGGAATAGAAAATTGATATCAAAGATTGGTCACAAAACGAAGATTTCACCTACGAAGACAAGATTACAGACGAGGTCATCTGGAATACCTATTTCCTCCAGTTCATCAACTTAATCTTGCAGACTTTGCAAACCCGATCAGCATACGTCTTTTTTGATGAGAAGGGGATATAAGCGGGCAGCATGACGGCCCCGGTATTTGGCGTCGATGTCTATTTAGGTCCTTCTCGCTTAATAGTATCTCAAAAACTCTCGAATTGCAATTCCGAATCAACAAACAGAAAAAGGGACTCATTCTAGATATCAACGATGTTAAAAAGTTCGACAGCTTCGGGATTTACTTTCAACACCTCATACACCCTAACTGCGTCTTATTCAATCTGTTTTCTTGCGATGAATTCACCCAACCCCGCCATGATTCAGATCAGTTTAAGAAAAGGATCATATCTAAAATGTTTGAGCATATAGTGTCAGCAACACGAGACCGAACTGCTGATCATGTAAAGGTATTTCTTTGACAAACTCTTGATTACACTTTCCCCTACTGACCGTATGATATAGGGCCAGACAATAGCAGAATCTCCGCAAGAGACGACAGGAACCGAACCTGTCAACATATCGCCTGGAACCATCTTTGACACTTCTGAGTGATATCTGTGCGAAACAGAGAACTTCATATTATATTAGTCAGGAAATGCAGAGACAAGCGAGTTAGTAATCAGATTTTGTCTTTGTATGTGGGATTAGTCTGAATTTGGGCATCTCTTATTATATAGCGTTAGAAGTTACAGGTGTACAGTTTCGTGTATTTATTTCTGTTAATCTTTCTCTATCGAATTCCATTTCAGTTGTCACTTTTCAGCAAATGGTAAGTCGAGTATTAAAAAAAGCGGCTGAAAAAGTATCGTCTAGAAGACACATATCCCAGGGTAAATCCAAATCGCTAGAGCACATGACTGTATATACCCCAGGGAGATATACCCCAGGGACAATCCGAATCGCACGTGAACGTATATACCCCAGGGAGATATACCCCGGGGACAATCCGAATCGCACGTGACTGTATATACCCCAGGGGAATATACCCCAGGGAAAATCCGAATCGGCTTGAGTACACACGTGACCGTATATATCCCAGGGACATTCCGGATCGACTAGAGTGCACGTGTGATCGTATCTCCTCGAGGAATTCAAAGCATTTCTAGAGAATGCAAAAGTAGCATAGATCCCTTCCCCCTGAGGCATTCTCCCCAATCACGTGCTGATTCGTGCTGATTCATCCCTTCCCCCGGGGGAGCCTCCCTGGGGATTAATATAATCTCACGTGATAAGACATCCCCGAGGGAGTGTTTCCCTTCCAAGGGGAAGCAGGGTTCCTCAAGCATTGTGAGAATCACGAATAGAAGCCCCTCGTGAAGAGCAGAACTGACTATATAGCTACTAAATTTTTTTGCTAGGAATCTTGAAATCAATCGCTACGGACTGAGGTCTCATTGCAATTTACGCCTCTTGCGACGCTGTTCCGTGGCTTCTCCATACCCATCATCGTCGTCGCCATCGCCATCGACCACGATCGGCGCAGACTGAGACCCCAAGGGAGGAACCCACATGCATCCGCAGTCGGGAAGGTCGCGCGGCAAGTGTAGCCATCCCGCTTCGTCGGTTTCCTGGAGGAAACGTCTCACCTCGTGTAAAGCACAGCGATAGTACCCTAAAGAGTGACCTTTCAAGCCCTTGGAGCGAAAGCCGCGATGTGCACCTAGGACTTCGTGGTTGAGAAGAGGATAAGCATCAAGTGTTCTCTGTTTCGATCAGTCGTGAACTCGCGCTCAAGATGGGGCACTCACCCAGAAGCTGGACTGCAGGAGACTCCGTGCCGGGACGGGTGATATGAAGATTGCTCTCTGAAGCTGGTCATGTACCTTGCGAAGGAACAGCCAGTCCTTGGGGTCAATACAAATCTGACCCTCGAAAAGGATATTGCGGAGTTGCTGCGAGCGGGCGAGTGCAATCACTGCATGAGGATTGAGTTGTTCAATGTGCCACCAGCGGGCGAGTGCAATCACTGCATGAGGATTAAGTTGTTCAATGTGCCACCCAGATGATAATTAGATTGCGAGCGTTTCGAAGACTGGAAGTGAATCGATGGACAACTTCTTGCAGAACTTTATTAAAGGTGACTGCTAGGCAGTGATATGTGCACACA